AAAATACGATTTAGGTGCCTTTAAGAGAGACGGAAAGATGTTCAAGTAGGTAATATTTGTCGCTCTTTTTAAAAAGCAGTAAATTAACATACAGTAAGTCGACTTACTATGTTTTCTAAATTTACTGCAGAGTGTTTAGGACACCAATAATAAATCCAAAAGACTGTTTTTTGGGTTGGTGGACCACCCCCAGTTTTTTATGTTAATTTTTTGGTCAGCATCCTTTTTTCGTAATTCTTTTAATTTTCATATACCCTTTTAGGCACTCTTTTGATCTATATTTTGTTGCTGGGGAAGTGGAATTAAATTCCATGGAAATTTTATCCCAGGCACGGTGCAAGATTTTGAACACTAATCCCCTGTTACCTTTTAACTTGGCAGTTAATTTAACTGATCAGATAGTGAAAACGGTGCAAGTCGCCGAAATGTACAGACTGTACTTCTTCGGCGTATTTACAAACAAAATTTTCCGAAAAGTCGATATAAAAGAGTACCTCGTGATCTACAGTTTTGTGCTGATAGGAGATCTTCCTGGTATGCAACAAAAACTTTGGAATCAATTTTTTAAACATTTAACAAAGCTCTATTTTTCTGCAAGATACCTGTTCTTTAATAGTTTTAGCAGAAGTGTTTTCTCTTCCCTTTATTACCAGGATTTTCTTTTTATTATTCCACTTTCTGTAAGAAGTAAAATCTTCTCCTTCATAATCTAAAAAGCTTATCTTTACATTTTCTACATTTTCTATTCAAACATCTTTTACTATTGCGATTACAGCATAGAGATTTTACTACTTCTTGTGATAAACTTTTATTGATTATTTTAAAGTATTTCAGTTTTTGTACGATAAGACTCATGTTTGCATACAAGTTTGATTACTATTTACAGTTGGTTGCAATATCTAAAATGAACGAAATTTGTAAAAAGTGGCATAAGAAATTCTGCACGTAGGATTGTTTTGCCTGAATTTTGGATACAGATTTTTAAGTGCATTATTTAAATACCGTTTTTGTTTTTTATAATTGTATCTCTTTTGCCTGGACACAGGCGACTATGCTTATATTTTTTAATAAGCCTTTTAGTATGCAGTACTCTTTTTAAACACATTTTATTTCCATTTACAGAATTTTGTTTGAAGCAATCTTGAAAAGGTATTTGGTAAAACCTTGTTGCTTTATTATATTTCCACAAATATATTGTATACAATCATTTATGAACTTTCTTTTATCCTTTTTTTCTTTAACCTGTTTAAAGTTATTTTTCAATTGAGACATAATCGCCTCACCAGAACCAAGTCTCTATTTAATTTTTCTTGTAGCCAAAATCAAGCATATCTCCTGACTATCTTTACTATTATTCCCAGCCGTTTTTAATCTATAATAACGTTTCTTTTATTTTCTTGCACCCATTTCAGAATTTTTTAATAGGGTATTAAGATGCTTTATTTTCTCATTTAATTTATTTCGATTTCGCATATGATCTGCCTTATGCGCATAATCAGTTCATAAGTGGGGGATTTAAAATATATCATACCATAGACATAGGTTAAATTAAATTTTTCTGAATTATTTGCTTACATCGCCTAGGTTTAGCTTGTATAAATTTCTGTGGTTTGGCTTTATAAAAATCAAAAAGTGACCTAATATGCATATTATGTAAAAGCCACTAAAAATCTCCTAAAGACAACGGAAAAAATCATTTCCAAAATAATTGGTATACAATAGAAAAAAAACAAAATGGTTAATTAAAACAACCATCAAATATCATCATTTTTTGTGTTTATTATTGCTAAATTTATATATAATTTATTAAAAAGTATTTACTATACTTTCCAAAAAGGGACAAATAAAATGTTTTTTTTAACCGACAATGCCGCCTCGTATGCGCATCAATGCTATCATACTTGTATTTTCACTTCCCCTACTTTAACCCTACGAAAAAGAAAAATTCTCAGGTACAAATGATTTGTATATGTGTGAAAGTATGTGAAATTTACATCCTACAAAGATTTAATAATAATAATAAATATTTATTAACGGATTAAAATCCATAATACAGTAAATAAATAATACAAAGATTCTAGAAATAACAGAAAATTCAATTTTCTATAACATTTAAAAGTCTTTTAAGATGAGTTATAGAGTTACAAAACAAGTCCAAATTGTACAAATTCCCCAACCTACATATTCGACACAATGTTGCATTAAGTAAGTAATTTGTCCTATAAGTCTTGTGAATCGAGATGGTACATTAAATTTTATTAATTCTAATAATTCAGTACAGTCAATTTCAGAATTTATTAAACGGTATAAAAACAATAAATCAATATGTTTCCTACGTGTTTCCAATGACTTAATATATTAAAATATTATTTAACATAACATAATCATAATGTTCTAATGAAATATTAAGTTTATAGGCACACAATCTCAAAAATTTGTTTTGTACCCGCTCCAAGGCATCAATACTAATATTGTAAAACGGATACCAATACAAGATATATTGAAATGAGATTCCTTTTTATAAATCTCAATAATTTTAGAGCTTTATTGGTGGATTTCTCCACGTGACTATTAAAGTTTAGTTGTATATCAAAATACACACCCAAGTCTTTAACTTCACTAAAGCGATTGAGACAAACTCCACCTAAAAATTATTTTTAAAAAATTGCATTTTTCTTCCTATAAAAACTTCGCACCATCAATCCATTTCATGTAAATCTTTTTGAATGTCACAGTTAGAAGAATCTGAAACAACACTAAACAATTTTAGGTCATCGGCGTATAACAGACATTTACAAGTTTTTATTGAATCACAGATATCGTTAATAAACAAATTAAATAACAATGGTGACAAGTGACCACCCTGAGGTGCCCCTGACGTAACTTTTATGGGAAAAGATAAAAATGAGTTCTGTACACAGAAATAAAAGTGGGGAAAATGTTAATTCTTCACAATTAAAGCGTGTAAATTGAATAACGCGCAGGTTCAAGTAGCGCATGCGGGCTTCAATTATATTAAAAAATCACCGCCTCGGCCATCATTTTAACTAGTGTTGGGAATAACCGATTTATTTCAATAACCGACTACCGAGTATTCAAGTGATTTCAAAAACCGGATTATCACTCGAATGACGATCACTCGAATGCTCAGCGTGAGGCGAGGCTAAATAACAATTCATTAAAAAAGGATTGCATAAACATATTGTTTGTGCAGTATTGCCATTTTTCTAGAAATCTACCTTTTTAGTAGTTTTTTTAACATAATTTTGATATTTTTGGTAGGCAAAAAAATATTATTACATTTTTAATACAAGTAATTAAGTTTTAAGTGTTTGTACGTAGTAATTTAAACTTAATTTTATTTTTTTGTGAAGAATTTCTATGTATTCAAATTGTAAACAAACTTCAAATGTCAAATATGCAGATTCCTATAACTAAAAAGATAACTTACAGAAACCTGTATATTACAAATAAATATATTTACCCGTGTTTTAGACTTTTTTTTAACCAGGTTAGTAGATTTCTTTACTCATTGGCATGGACGCATGTCCACACTGCGCAAATAACCGGTTATTCATAACCGAATAATTTAAATCATTCATATTATTTGAAATAGGTTATTTTTCACTTAAGTGAGTTTGTGTAATTATTAATTAAGTACAAGTGTTGTTCTTTTGTAAATACTTTTTTTTTTAATGCGGCCCGGTTGTAGAAACTCCGTAGTTTGGAACTATTTTAAGAAAATTGACAACAAATCAGCTTCTTGTCAAATATGTAAAAAAAAATATTAGATGCGGAGGCGGTACTACAAATTTAAAACAGCATTTGCTAAGCGTTCAACCGATACAGTTTTCTTTAAATGAAGGTATTCCAAATGATGAAAGTACATCCGTAAATAGTATTAATGATTTGCATTCCCAATCCCTATCACGAGTTTCTGTCGACGAAAGGCCTTCAACTTCGACAGAAACAATTTATTTGGATGCAAACTCTCAAATTCAATCCCAACAACTCTCCGTTTCCGAAACACCTTCTACAACTTTAAAGACGCGTACTACCTCTTCAAGCACTCCTCATCGAAATAAATATGAACGACCAACAAATCAACTAAAATTTTATGGGACAAGACAAAAAAATTTATTTTCTCAAGCACAAATTTCTGAAATAGATGGAAAAATAGTAAAAATGATTGCCAAGGATTTTCAACCCATTTCTATAGTAGAAAATGAAGGTTTTTTAGAAGAATACTTACCTGTTGCAGCCCCTACCCAAGTAGCATTATAGTGTCGAAAACTGATATCGCCACTAAATGAGTGGCATTTACGTTCAAATAACTAAATCTACCACGATACAGTTGAAATATCTATAATATGTTATTATAGTTGTAATCATGTGATTTGCACCAGCAGAATATACTTTATAGTTTTATAACTCTTTGGTGTATTTGTCTGGTATCTAAAACGTTATGACCACTTTTGACACCACCTTATAGTTTTCTAAACTTTAAAGTGGATTATGAATAGTTACGGCAACCAAATCACATCACTTAAGTATTACTTTGAAGTGGTGGTAGTAGTAAAGTAAGTATACCAGTTTTGGCAACGTTTTCGGAACTTTCCCCAAACCTTGAATGTGGCAGAACTTAATTATATAATTGCGGTGGTCATTTCCACGTTCTTGCTACATGCTTAAGTAATTTCCACGTTTCGCATAGGAATAAACCCACTACAAAGTTGATATAACATCCGAAATTCACTATGAAATAACCAACACCTAATAGTGACCTGCTTCCTAAATTATCTTAACGGTGAAGAGACAAGCCTAAAAAATCTATGGTGTCTGTGTTAGACAAATCCAGTGTAAGAAGTTTTATCCGGTATAAAAGATGGGTAACAATAGAAAGCCACGAGAGAAAAAGATTTTTCGACATTCAACAACATTCTATAGAAAACTAAAACAACATATACATAGAAAGAACCACACCTCTTAAACGCTATTACTCTGTTGTGAATAAGCCGGCGCCATTATCGTCAATACGTACAAGTACTCAAGCTTTGGTTTCATCTTCAGTAGTGAACAGTGATTCTTATGTGTTATCTGAAACCTCAAAAGATGATATAACGTTTTGTCCACAAATTGAAAATAAGGTAAATTGTCCTCAAGATAATATTGATAACGATATATTGGTAGTTCCGGAATAGATTTTGCGGACGTCTATGATGTAGAAGAACGTATTAAATCTCTAATTTCACTATTAGAAGAACTTATAACATGGTGCCATGTATATAACTTCTTCACTTGATGCTTCATATTTTAAAATCAAAAGGTATGAACTTACCACTTGATAGTAGAACATTATTAAAAACCTTAAAATCGGTAAATATTATAACGATGGGAAATGGCCAATTTTGGTATAATGGAATAGAAAACTGTTTGATTACAACATTTTCTAATATAGTAAAACCTTTATCAGTTTCAAGGGTTTTTAACGTGGATGGACTACCGCCCTTTAGAGGTTCAGCAATGGAATTTTGGCCTATTTTATTTAAAATTGGTAATAGGCCTCAACTACAACCAATGGTAGCAGCAATTTACTGTGGAGAAACTAAGCCACCTTTACGCGAATATCCAACTCAGTTCGTTGATGAATTAAATAATATTTTGAAAAATGGAGTTTTAGTTAACGAGCAGAAGATACAAGTCAAAATTAAATATTTTGTCTGTGACACCCCAGCAAGGAATTTCATTAAAGGTTGGTATCAAAGATTTTACGTTTAGGTAGTAGTCCAAAAATGTAATTTTATTTTATTTTACAGGTACGGTTGGGTTTAATTCGGCTAACGGATGCATAAAATGCACGGTTATTGGGGACTATGATAGAGGGGGAAGATATATGAGCTTTCCAAAAATCGACTGTCCACTTAGAACCGATGAAAGTTTTCGCAATAAAACTGACGATGATCATCATAAAGAGGATTCACTCCTAATAAAATTACCCATAGATATGGTTGACGATATTATAGTGGCAGATTCTTTACATTTGTTTCACGTAGGTATACCTACTCTTTTAAATTGTTTTTTAAAATTTGTAGATATTTTTTTAAATATTCATTAAAAAACTGTATCTGGGAATGTAAACGTTTTCCGACATATTATGTTTACTTAATAAGTTATTAATTAACCTAGTTACATATTTATTATTTACAATTTTTAAATTGCAGGTTTAATGCGAAAATTCTTATATGGATGGGTCAATGGCAGCTACAATTTTCGTACAAAACTTTCCGAAGCAGATATTGATAAGCTATCAGATATGTATTGCAGAAGACTGCAATAAAAGAAAACCTGTTGAAATACATCGCGCTATTAGAGAGGTCAAATGTTTAAAGTATTGGAAAGGAACTGAGTACCGAACTTTTTACTTTATATCGGCCCTGTTGTGTTAAAGAACTTATTGACCAGTGAAACTTACCATACGCTATTTTGTGCAGTTACAATGCTTTCATGTCAAACATATTTAAAGTACATAGATATAGCTATTTAAAGTACATAGATATAGCTAAATGCCTACAATTTATTGACATTTATGGAATAGATGCTATAGGCAGCAATGTTCATAACTGTTGTCATGTAGTAAATGATGTTAAAAAGTATGGTCCACTTCCAGAAATAGGCTCTTATCCATTTGAAATTTTTTTAGATCAACTAAAATCTTTGCTTTATTCCGGAAATCGGCCATTATCACAACTTTCTAAACGTGTAATTGAATTGTCTAAATTTTATTCTTTATTCAGTCAGAGTTTACAACCTAAAAGTCCTTTTGTTAAAAATGAAAACCGCAGAGAAAAACGTCAGTTAAGTTACTGCAGCAGAATATTTAATACATTATGCATTTTTGATAATTTTACATTATCCAATAATATTAAAAACAAATGGTTTATGACAAAAAGCAATGAAATAGTATGCATGATAAATGCTACTTACTACGAAGACACAATCAGCATATACGGTTCTCCCATTAAGGCAAAAACCGACTTTTTTAATAAACATTTATAAATCAGAAGAAAAAGATTCAAGATTCAAGATTGTATTCATTAAATGAAATTAAATGTAAACTAATATCTCGTAAGTACAACAATGACTTGGTATTTTTGCCCTTAATTCATACTTTGGATTTATTCTTTTAAATAAAATTATTATTATTTTAAATATTATATATATTATTAATTAAAAAAAATCTGTATTTCCACATCAAAGTTTAGTTTTATCACTCTGAATCCTTTTCCCCATCACATTCAATTGAGTGGAGTCATTAAATTCTTCATTTTGTCTAGGTCCTGATTATCCTGAGTATTCTGATTATCCTGATTATCCTTATCAATGATGCAGCCTGGTTTTAGACTGCAAATTAAACAAAAAATATTTAGAAACATATTTTGTCTGCCTATTTGTGGCATATTTTAAAATACCATCTTTATTACAATTCTTTTGTTTAGTATACCGACTGTCTGCAAGTGATATTACTTGGAAAAATACATCCAGAATTCCTTCTAATATTTGAAAGGGTTTTTTTAGTGGAGTTTTTGCCTTTGCCTTGTATGCAACTTTTCCTCCATTTTCTTCCCTACTGGTGCCTCCAATTTTGGATAAAAATGTAATCTGAAACCATATTTGTGAAAAACATTAAGCCTTGAAAAAAAGTAAATTGAAGGTGGTTTAGTAACTTGTCAATTAGGTCTTGGTTAGCACAAAAAACTGACAAACTACTATGATTACTTTCAACGTACTGTTTTATCTCTTTCACAAGTCGAATCTTTATTTAATGTTTGGGACCATTAAAAATAGAAACAGTCTAACAAAAAAAATAAGTACGTGTTTTGGGATTTTTTCATATATGTTCTAAGTAGTTTTTGAGCTATACAATTTTAAATTTTTAAAAAATATAAAAAAATGTAATTTAAAAAAAATAACCATGAAAAAGTGTTTTAGTTTTGAAATTCGATAATTTTCGACCAGCTTTTGTAAGGTCTCATCAAAATTAATTAATTATTAGGTATATGCATAATATACATTGTATATATACGGGGTGTTTCACATCTTATGCAAAAAAGTTTAACCCCTTATGCTCCTTTAAATATTAAGTCGATTTATTAATAAAAAATCTTATAAAAATTCAACAGAAAACAAGATAACATATTTATTTACATAAAGAAGCATATTTGCTTAAAATCTATTGCATAAGTTTTGAAACACCCTGTATTATAAATTTTTTAATATTTTAAGAAGTCATACATTTTGGCATATAAAAAATATCAAATTCCAAAGTAATTTTGTATCCATTTTTCATGGTCCCAACCCAGATATTTTTTTGTTGGAGAGTGTAATTGTTAAAAGAAAGGAGGTGTCTATTTTGATAGACTTTTTTTTTTTGTTCCTTTTGTTTTGATTTTTCACATATTTTTGTTAAATATTGTAACGGGTGGTTTTTTGGGTTAATTAACGCGGGGAGCGGGGCTGATATTGACTACTATCAGTCCGTTACAAGGATGTTACCACTAATCTGACCTTTATTCCAGCGACGGTTGCCGATGATTTGGTAATCCCAATAAGCACGAATCACCACACTAAGTCACTCGCGACGGATCTCCCGGAACACTTCGCGAATCACGATATACTTACGTTTGCCAAGCACTGGGTAATTAGAATTAACAGGTACCCAAAGAAACAAAGCAGATTCTAACCACAAACAATATATTTACAATTAAGAAGAAGAATAAAAATTAACAAAGAAAATAAGAAAAATTAATAATTTAACGGTAAAGAAAATTAACAAAGAATTTACGGAGAGATTAAGATTAAGAAACTAACTTTTGAATTAAACCGAACTAAATTAACTTTTATAAAAGGTAACCTAAATGAATCTTATAAAACTAATAATTTAAACTACAAATTTTAAACTAAACCGGTTACTTAAGGTGAACTTAACTGCGAGCACCGGTATAAGCAACTTTACAACAAACTTAACAATATACCTGACTTAATTAATTACACTGCCTGGCTAGAACTTCGACCTTCGAACTCGGAAACGACGCGCGCGAAATCTTGCAAGATAAAATCTCCAGAACGCAGTTGAGTCGGGCTTTTAAAGACTCCCTTAAGTCGAGGGCGTGACTTGGCCTAGGGTTGAAGTTTCTGGCCAATCAGAGGCGTGCAGTGAGAAATTTCTACCCCTACTTAACGCTGAATTCGGGGTTGCCTAACTACAAAGTTACTTAAAAAGTTTAAATCCGTTAACAAAGTCCAAAAAATTAAAATATCCTATGTCTGCAATTACTAACTACCCTTTTACTTCAACCTAAGTTATACAATTAGACAATTTTCTCGGGTTACATTAAATTCTTAAAACTTATCGGTAAAACTACTATACGGCTGGTTATATCCTTATCTTAGTCCTAATTCTTTAATCTAAATGATTATTAACTAAATAAATTTGTTATTATTCTTTTAACTACTTTCTCTATTATTTAATTTTCCAACGATCGATTTAAACAAAGGGAAGCGTTTTCAATTGAGCGTTAAGGCTTTTCCAAGAAAAACATCATCTGGCTACTTTTTAGTGCGCGTTTCCGCTAGTGGACTTTTGGGACAAAGAAACTTTCTATCTATTTATTTATTACTTCCAAAACATGCTCCTAGGCCCCCCCAAGTCACATCTGGCTCTCTTAAAAAATCCTTCTAAGTATTAAATTTCTTAATTCTTCAAAACAACCATTTCTTTGAAATTTAGTGAAACTTCAGATTTTTACCCTATTACATCACTCCCCCCTTTTTAAACGAATCAAAAAAAAAATTGCAAAATAACAAATTGATTCGTTAAAAAACTAAGCAACTTAAACTAAAACTAACAAACTAAATATAAGGTGTACAATCCTCTTAAATCTATACTAATTAGTCTTTCCCTAGTCCATGATTTCAATCAGGCTTGGTCTGTTCTTTAACTCTCACTATGTTTGTGTCACTGTATCACGCACCAAGCACTTCACTTGTTCGTCTCTGCACTTTCTAGGTTGGTTTAGTTTTTCTCCAACGTTGCTCCTTGTACTTGTAGGTGTTGGCGCTGATGATTGGATTGCTACCGGGGTTGTTGCTGCTATTTCCTGCATCTGCTATGCTGCTGGTGTATTCTTCAAGGTTCTTTAGTCATTGTAACGTTTGACATATAGAATGATTTTGTGGCTAATTATCTTAAATCGTTCTAACTGCTGGGTTCGTCATAACTTTTCTTTCTTCTAGGCTATTGGCTTCTTTTTCTTTCCTTTTGAACTTCTTTGCGTCCCTTTGCAATATTGTTGTTCCTGAGGTGCGGTCGTCTTCTTCGTTTACATCTTGGCATGGTACGTCTGGGATGCTGTGATAGGCTGGAACAGGCTGCTTTGGTCCAATTGGATTCTTTGGACGGTCTGATTGGACTTTTGATTGTGTGCGATTCTCCTTGGATGCATATTTGTTGGCTCGTTGTTATTTCCGCCTCCTTCTTTTGATTACCCCCGTGGTGGACATTTCTAAAACATTTCGAAAACTAAATGAGGATCTAAAATATTTTGGTTTAACGATATTTATTTTCTTCTCTTATACATCCATGGCTGTGTTTCGGCCTTTCCTCTGCTACGCAGAACCATGGGATGTAACTCGGTCGGCTTTTCTTTCCTGGTTGGTGTAGAGGACCTCACGTTGGCTGTTGAATTTGTTGCTGTCTCCGTATTTGTTGGGTTTACTTGCTGATCGAAAGCTACAGGGGGATCTTTACTGAAAACTAGATTTGGATTATTATCAATGTTCCTGAAAGAAAAATTATTATCCCTTGCTGAAGAATTAATTTCTTGATGTTGTGAACTGGACGATTGTGTTATTGTATTATTAACTTTCCTTGGTATATGCTCGGGGTCTTCCTCGGTATACAATCCGATCGTTGGATACTTGTTTAAATCGTTCGTTTGTCTTACCTTAATGGGTATAAGTCCCATTTGATTTACCTGATTTTCCGTTGCTAGGCATAATTTTAATCTATTAACATGTACTTTGTCTATTTTATTCCCGTGTATTTCTTTTACCTCGGCGGTAACGTTATTTAAATTTATAATTCTATAAGGTCCTTTCCATCTCTTTGTTAATTTCCTGCTTATTCCTGGCTTATCTGACGGATCGAACACATATACTCTATCTCCTATTTTAAACTTGTGTAATTCCGCTTTTCTATTAAATGTGTCGTGCACCCTTTCTGTATTTCTCTCTATCATATCTATTGCATTTTTGTGCGCTATTTTCATCCTATTTAAA